TCATTCCCTGGGTTCCTGCATGGATTATTGTCAGTGTTGTGAGAAGGAGCAAGTTTTCATGAATGACAGTGAGTGATAATGAGGTGCACAGAGTGGTAGTACCTGGAATGTTTTCTTTAGCCGAAATAAAGGGAGTCCCGATAGCATGACAAGTCTTGGGCTTCCTTACTCCAACCTGCAACTGAAATGAAAAATACAAAAATGTCTTCACCAGCAGATCAATACCTTCTTCAGCTGCTCTTCCCTTTTTTCACCTACAGGATAATTGTTTGAAAAGTTAAGTATGCTTTTACAATATTCTTGGTGAAATCCTGACTTTGGGAAACTCAGAATAAACCATTTGGTTGTTTTTTTTGTTAACAAATGCATTTCTAGAGAAAACATTAAGGGGGAACCAATAGAGAAAAAAGATTTAAGAAAAATCAACCAGTGGAAATAAGTAGACATCATTTGGATCCTTATTAAAATAAATATACTGTTAAAAATATAAAATTTATGAGGCGATTAGAGATTTGAACACTGTCTGGATAGTTGATATTAAAGAATTATCACTAAGCTTTGAGGTGTGATAGTAGTACTATTGATGTTTTAAAAAGAAAGCCCTTTTAGATACATACAGATGAGCCAAAATAATATTTAGGATGGGCTTTGAAATAATATGAAAAAGGAAAGTGGGTAGAAGTCTAGACGGTGTAAGATTGCCTTAATTTATAGTAGTGAAATCTGAGTAAAAAGAATATGGGGGTTCATGATATTTTTGCTACTTTTGCATATATTTTAAGTTTTCCATAATAAAAAGAAAAAAGATCTCTCTATCTTTAGGCAACGTTGTAGAAAGAGTTCTCAATAACTCACAATTAATACAGTTCACCCAGTCCATTCCAGTTGGCATAATATCACCAGATTGAGCCCTCTGGCCCGAGGAAGCTTCTGAATGTGAAGGGTGAAGCACATATTGTGAGGTAGATTTTCAATTTTGCATAAAATATTTGTTGACCTGCAGTCTGCTGTCTTTTTGGTTGAGTGCTTAAAAAGCATCATGCAGGTCATTCTCTCTCTCTCTCTCTCTCTCTCTCTCTCTGTCTCTCTCTTCCTCTCTCTCTCCGTGAAATAACTCATTTTAGTGCTTTTGAATTGGGATTCTATCACATGACACAAGATGACCCTGACTTTTTACAGACCACTCTGGATTCTGCATATTCCAAACAGTGAGCAGATAAAATGCAGCTTGCTAGGATTTCTCTCCACATAGCTAGTATTTTCCACCAACATCAGTGACTAGGCACTGCACTGGATAAGGGGGCTGCAGAGATGGCACCCAGGGTGCCATCTGTTGGAGCGCTGCAGGGGTGGGGTGCAGGGCAATCATCACTGGGTTGAGCCTGAAGCCTTTGAAAATAGAACAGTTGGAGCTGAAGCAATATGGAGAACTAGTCTCCTCATAGAAGACTCTAAGACTGGAAGCTGCAGCTGGGATATTTAAAACACCTCCCTGTATTGTTAGAGCTAAAACCAAAACAAGTGAACATTTGCATCAGGCAGAGTTTAAGCAACTTAATAACAGGGGCAAACCTCGCAGGATAAGGATCTGTGCTCTGGAAGAAAAGAGAACAACTCTTGGTCTGTGACCCCATAGCAAGTACATTCTGTGCCCAGTGCTGCCTCCATTGCTCAAAGATAGCCTAGACTTAGAAGCTGATATGAGATGATAAGAGAGGCTAAGACTGAGGAGCTGGCCTAGAGGAGGGGGTCATGGTAGATCCCACCACACAACTCTAGTGCCCTCAGCAGAGTAGGAAGCCTGAATTGCTAGAGGGGATCCTTTGGCGCCCTATTGCCCTGGACTTCTTTTACATCTTCTACTCCCCACTGGCACCAGTTCTTCAATTACTTCAACAGGTGTAAAGGCAATAGTATGAAAGTCTCTCCCTATTCCAACCCATAGAAAGTAAAAATGAAGAGTAAGAAAAACATTATCACAAATGCTGGAGCAGAAAAGACCCTGGAAGGTGTCTCAATCCAGAATACTTCAGAACATTACTGAAGAGATCAACGTAACAGTTACAACAACACTTGTGGAACTCAGAAAACCATTGGAGGATATAAAACAGCAACAGAATAAGGATAGAGAGAATATGAAGCAGGTGCTAAGAAATTAGAGAATATTGGAGCTAAGAAATACTATAAATGGATTAAAATATACAATTGAGGGCCTCAACAGCAGACAAACAAAAGCAATGGAGAGAAATAAAACTGAAAATGAACAATTGGGAAAAATAAAACCAAAAATAAACAAGTTAAAGAGATTTTACAGGGGCCTTCATGGTGGTGTAGAGGTTAAGTCTCAGTACTAGCAAGCTATCACCACGAAGGCCTGAGTTTGATCCCCGGACAGGGAGCTAACCCACATATGGTATAGCAGACCTCCTCTGTCTTGCCCACTGCTCCCCTTAGCAGTGTATTTCAATAAATCACCTGCTCTCCACTCTATATCTGGTGAATCCTCTTACTACCCGCACCTCTGGCCTATACCCCAGTTCTTCTATGCAAAAATAATTTTTTAAAAGAGCTTTTATACAGTGAAAGAAAATACAAGAATAAAAGGATACTCTACGAAATGGAAAATAATATTCACACAAAATATAACTGGTAATGGGTTCAAATCCAAGATATATAAAAACTAGCACAATTTAACAATTAAAACAAACAACACAATTAATAAGTGGGCAGCACATATGAACAAATGATTCACCAGAGAGGATATCCAGAAAGTCAGTAACCATGAAAAAATGTTCAACATCACTTGCAATGAGAAATATAGGTTAAAACCACAATGAGGGGCCTCCCTGGTGATGCAGCGGGTTGAGCACAGCGCTGTGAAGCTGTCTGTAGCCTCTGCAGCTTGGGTTCGAGTTCTGCCCAGCCAGGGAGATACCCATATGGCACGGCAGACCTCTCCTGTCTCGCCCTCTGGTCCCTCAACAGTGTATTTTGGTCCATTTTGCCTGTTCTGCTCCCCACTCTGTCTCTAGTGAATCCTCTCACCCCCCCATGCCTCTGGCCTGTACTCCAGTTCTTGTATAAAAATAAATAAAATCTTTAAGAAAAAACACAATTAGATACAGCTCACACTCACCTATGAGAATGACACATATTAAAAAAGACCCCCAAAAAAAGTCCTGGAGAGGAGGCAGAGAAAGAAGAACCCTATTGCACTATTTTTTTTTTAAAGAAGGCCCATTTATTTATTTATTTAAACATTTATTTATTTATACAAGCACTGGGTACAATCAGAAGCGCGGGAGGGTGAGAGAATTCACCAGAGTCAGAGCGGGGAGCAGAGCAGGCAGAGGGACCGAGGCACACTGCTGAGGGGAGCAGCGGGCGGCAGGAGAGGTCTGCTGCCATGTGGGACCCTCCTCCGGTAGCTGGGGAGCAGCCGGGGATCGAACCAGCGCTGAGGAGGCTGCGGGCAGCTTGGCAACCCAGCGCTCAACCACTGCGCCACCCGGGAGGCCCCCCTATTGCACTATTAATGGGAATGTGAACTGGTGCAATCATTATAGAGAACAATCTGGATTTACCTTATAAAACTGAAAATGGAAATACCATATGACTCAGAATTCCTGCTCCTGGGCATCTATCCACAGAATATGAAACCTCAACACAATGTTCACAGCAGCGCTATTTACGGTAGCTGGGATATGGAAGCAGCCTAAATTTCCATTGACAGTGATTGTATCAAGAAGATGTGGTAATATCCACACTATGGAATACTGTTCAGTCATAAGGAAGGATGAAATGTAGCCCTTCAACAAAATGGGGGCTTTTGAGAGAAGTATGTGCAGTAAAGCAAGTCGGAACGATAAAAATAAACACTGGACATTTACATATCAGATGATTCATAAACAAAATACTTAAAAGAACCAGTAAATATCAATAAGCATTGTGAGTGCTCTGAAGTTGAGAGGGAAGGGGATATAAGGAATCCACGTGAGGGGGGGAAGGAAATTGTAGTTATTTAATGGGCAATATGTATACTATGATCTATTATTGAATTCCCTCTCCTATTTGTATTCATTTGATTAGAACAGCATTATAGCTCTTCAAGATTTTCTTCGTTATTTCTTAACAACTATTCTTTCATATAAAAAAGTTAATGCTCCGGGCCTCCCTTGGTGGCGTAGCGGTTGAGCGCTGGGCTGTGAAGCTGCCCGCAGCCTCTGCAGCACCGGTTCGATCCCCGGCCACCGGCGAGGGTCTCACATGGTGCGACAGACCTCTCCTGCCACGCCCGCTGCTCCCCTCAGCAGTGTATTTCCTCACTCTGCCTGTTCTGTTTCCTTCTCTGGCTCTGGTGATTTCTCTCACCCTCCCACGCTTCTGACTGTACCCAATGCTTGTATGAATAAATAAATAAATCTTTAAAAAAAAAAGAGAGAATATCAACACTTTAAAAAAAAAGTTAATGCTCCAATTGTAGTTGCAGTATATTCACATATTTTAATAAAACAGAGTGATTAATCATATGCAGTCCGTCTAAGAAAATGACATATATTTGTGTTAGTTCATATGGTGTTGATTTCTTCAATAACATTTATACTTTCTTTCATAAAATACTTTAATATTCTTATTTCACTTCTAACATTTTTATAATTTTGTTTACTCTCACCAATAGAAATTTCATGCTATTAAAAAAAGAAGGAAAAAGTTAAAAGAATAAATTAAAAAACCCACAAAAAAACAAATGTCAAATCCGCAAGAACAGCTTATGGTTTGCTAGAACTTACAGGGTTATGGGACTGGGCCAGATATGTGTCTGCCATTGTGAGAGTGATCTTCCTGAAGCCTTCTGGAGTGTTCTTCAGAGCACCTCACAACTGCGGTAGGTAAATTTTCTTCTCTTTCTTAACCACAGAAGGCAAGGATGAATTGGCTTTCTTGATGCACAGGATTTGGTGATCTTGGTAATGAATGACCCCAGATCTTGTTTTCCACAGGTCGTGTTACACGCCATTGGAAGAATACCAAATATTGCTCTGTTTCTTGATGACTGCCGTTGTAAGCCTCTCTCCCTGGCCATAAATTGGTGGCCAGATTGAGTTCAGAAGATAAATAGAATAGACCTTTCCAAAGGCCTCCAATGTCTCCTAAATTAGCTTCATTTTCCAGCTGATTTGGGTAAGATAAGTTTGAGAAAAGATAAACTGTGCACTATGGTGGGAGGGGAGGATCTTGTAAGGAAAATGAAGATTCAAGATAGAGAATTTTTTCTTTCCTTTTTTTGTGGTAACACTGGTTTACTTTGCTGTTTGTGTATCAGAAGTATAGAATCTCCTCCCTCAGGTTTTGTAACTGCACTGTACCCACCATCAAGTGGAGAATAATTTAATCCACCTCATCCTAAAATATGTCTTAAGGCTCATTTCTGAGTACTCCAAAGTAGGCTCATTATTTTGAAATATCTACAAGCGACCCAGCAGCTAAGAGAAATCTGCTACAGGATGTGGCTCTCAGTCTATGAACCGACAGTCATTGACAGTGATGACATTGGGAGGGTCTCTGAAATTGGGATTAACCGTGCTTGAAATCACTTGAGAAGATGAGCATGCTAGAGTGACTGCAGAATAGATGTGAGACGAAGTATCCTTTCAATAAAACCCAGCATGTGAAATCCCAGCCACAGGGCATGCTCTTCTTTTGTGACTATGCAGGTTGCTGGACTCGTGTCAAGACCAGAGGTAAAAGTGAAGCAGAGCTAGATGGGTGGGGTTAGTTACTTTAAAGTAGGAGAAGCAGCTAGTATGTATACAAGATCAAACTTCTGAGGTTGTGTCTGGCAAATCAAGATTGAGCACTCACATTAGCTGATGGGATTTTATTGCTCCATCTACTATCCAGGGAAGGTCCCATGTTTTTGGATGGACAGGTGATATGTAACCTTGCTGGCAAAGGTTTTTTTCTCCAGTGGGTGGAACTGGGGGCTCAGGACCATTGTTTACTCTCCTCCCAGCCATTGAGTTGTTTGTCAGGGCATCTGTTCATAAGGATACTGGAAATTTCCCTGGAGAGGCAGGATTAGGAAGGCCATGGGATTTGCTCCTCCTTTTTTTCACCTGAGAGGGAGATTTCTTCCTGGGGATTCTTTTAAGAAGCATTAGGTAAATTATCCAAATGCTGCCTTTACAAACAGGATTTTACAAAATACTTCTCTTTGCGTTAGCTTTGAATATAGTTATTTCTTGAGTCTTAACCTCCCCCATTAATGTGGTTACTGAGAAAATAATTCAGAGAGCAAATTTCTTCCTCCTACTTACTTTAAGTTTTAGTTCAGTTGCTTCTTTTATCCAATGAGTAGTGCCACTGAAATAGCAGCTCACTGAGTTTGAAAAAGAACAGAGTTTTTAAGAGAAGTTGTATACTTCTTTTTTGGTATAGATTATCCCATAACTCTCTCTGTCTTGGTCTCTTGGATTCAGAGACAGACAATTTATTATGGCAGTGCTCGTAGGGGAACAGGTAAGAAAGTGGGGGAAACCAGAACAGAGAATGGGAAGAAGCTATTCAAGTTACTATGTTTGCATAACAAATCACCTCCAAACTTAATGGCTTATACTATGGCAAAATATATTTTGCTAGCAAAATACAGTTTGGGCAGGCCTCCATGTGGACAGTTTGCCTCTGCTCTATTTGGCTTCAGCTGAAGTGACTCAGAGATAGGGGTGTGATCATGGGTTCTTGTCCTCCTGGGTCTGGCGGTGGATTCTGACTGGTGGGTGACATCTCTGCTGGAACACCTAAATGTGATCTCGCCATTGACCATAACGTTCAGAGAAAAAATGCAAAGTGATACCATTTTTAGTTTGGTATGGTATAGCATATAGGAATTGGTAATCACAGTCCACTACAGATTACTTATGGATATATGTGGTAAAAGTATGAAAATATGGACTAGATTCACAATAAGTTCACAATAATGATTGCAGCGAGGAGACTGTAGAGGTTTGAACTTTACCTGTGGTATTTTATTTTTATAAAAATATCTGAGCAAATATGATAAACTATTAATACTTTTTGCATGTGGATAATTTCTATTATCCCTTTTATATTTCTACAAACCACCTTGAATTTTTTCCTATTGCATTTATTTCTTTTTTTTCACCTTAGGGCCTGGATAGGGTGGGCAGTAAAATGTGTAACTAGATTTTGTAAAGATGAGCAGAGATGCCAATAGGTTGCTAGTTTCCCCATTTCTATTAGCAATGCTACTCTGGATGGTTCCTACACTGAAGTATGGAAAATAAACTTATAGTAAGTTACCATTCATAAATATTTGAACAGAAATTAAGATATAACATAATTCTTATTTATGTTGAACAGTATCAAATAATATTTGAACTAATTTGATCATAGTTATTTTTTAGGAAACAGAAAATTGCATGTAACTTTATTTAAAATTTCACCTTTGGTCTTTTTAAAAACTTATGAAAATTTTGTTATTGAGATATAATTGACACATAATTTATTAGTTTCAGATGTATAACATAGCAATTCAATATTTGTATATATTGCACAATGAACACCACAATAAGACTAGTTAATATCTATCACCATACATAGTTCAAAATTTTTTCTTATGATGACAATTTTTAAGATTTATTCATTTCATAACTTTCAAATATACAGTACAGTAATACTTAGTCACAATGTTGAAAATTATACCCCCATAACTTATGTATTTTGTAACTGGAGTTTTGTATCTTTTGACCTCCTCCACTCATTTTGTCCACCTTCCTATCACCCACCTCTGGCAACCATCAGTTTGTTGTATCTATGAACCTAATTTTTTTTGTTCCACATATAAAGTGAGATCATATGGTATGTGTCTTTCTGTGTCTGACTTTTTTTCACTTAGTGAATTTTTCATCCATGTTGTTACAAGTGGCAAACTTTCATTCTTTTTAATGGTTGTATAATATTCCATTATATATGTGATAGATATTGATGTAGCCCACACACAATGTCTCACATTTGATTAATTCATTCTTCAGTCTTTGATTGATTCCATGTCTTTGTGAATAATGTTGTGATGAAAATGGGAGTACATATATCTTTCAAGTCAGTGCTTTTGTTTTTTTCAGATACATACCCAGAAGTACAATTGTTGGATCATATAGAAGCTTTTTTTTTTTTTTTTGAGGACTCTCCATACTGTCTCTAAAATATCTTTATAAAAGACAAGTTTTGGGTAAAAGAACATCTCAAGTTAAAGATATTTACATTAGTACTACCTAAAAAAGGCAATAGGGTTGAGGTAAAAACATAACAGGGGAGAATGAAAAAAAAAATGGGTAAAATAATGGACTGTCAGGAAGTTAGATATAAATTAGAAATTAAAGTTCATTATAGAGTTATGTAATGTAGAACACATACTGTGGAAAATAAAACTTTTCTCTAAGTGTGGAGGAAAAAAAGACAAAGATTACAAGGATGAGGGATGGGTAGATATAGGGATAAGAGATGAATTGGTTTTCATGAAGATGAGACCATCCTCCCAATTGGACAAAAGTGGTAATTGATGATATAATGGGAAGAGTTTCCTAAGCCAAAGGAAGACTTGAATGGAGAGTGAAAGGACTCATAGTGGTCCTAATGGGAATGGTCTAGTCCTATTATAATAGCGATATATAGTATATATACACAACACTATATAGTGTATATAGCTGAAATACTAGCTATAAAAAAAAAATCAATTCTTGCCATTTGTGACAACATGGATGGAAATGAGGCATTATGCTAAGCAAAATAAGTCAGGAGAAAGACAGGCACCATTTGTTTCATATATGTGGAATATAGAGACATAAAACAAAGGGTCAGGCCAAACCAAACCAATAATAAGCCCTAGGAATCTGACTGTGGAATTGAGGCTACTAGATAGGGAGGAGCAGAGGGGGAAACAAATAAGGGAGGGGGCACAATGGACTATGATGGAGAGCTGAGGGTGCCTTGGAGATGGGTGTGATGTGGTGACATGCATCTGAGGAGGTGTGATCCTATAGCTTTGAATCACATACAGTCTTGTAAACCAATGTTAGTTCAAATAAATAAACAAATAAATAACAAATAAAATGACTTAGAAGATTATCACTTAAAAAGAGAAAAAGGCCTACTGCTAGACTCCTCTTGGGACCTTTGAATTGTAAGGCCAAAGAAAATATCCTTAAGTATTAGGTTCAAAAACAATTTACCCAGAAACAAAAATCAGGTTGATTTTAGTGTTCTCCCCATAACTGCCACTGAAGACAATGCCAGTCCACAGTTTTGAGGTTTGGGAAGAGGAATGTTGCAACTCAAAAATTGCCTTAATTTGTGGAAACTATTAAAAATTTCACAATATGTCCAGTTGGAAACAACTTGAAAAATTTAAGTTTTATTCCAGTCAATTGTAGAATAAAAGACTAGGGAATGAGGAACTATCACATACAAAGATTTACAAATATCTTCTTATTTTGTTTTGATTCCATGATCAGGAATCAAACTGTATTAGATATTTTCAAATAAATTTATAGCTCTGGGGAGTAGCTAGAGTCTGTGAAGTTTCCATTACTTAATTCTGTTGGTTTTTGCTATTTGTTAAGTGTCAGGAAATGTGTTTTTAGGTTATATTCTTTGCCTCATGGTTCAGATGGAATTTCCTGCTACTTAAAAGACAACAAAGCCTACTTCTTTTTTTATTCTAAAACAAGAACTGCAATGTTTAAATGACAGTGACATTGTTTGCAGAATTACTAAACCTGTAATGTATTTTTTTCCCACTGCTCAGTGAAACTAATTTTATTCAGCATTATAACTGCATTGCATTGACAAGGAACTTGAGTAATAATTTTTCTGCTTCTTAGAATTCATTTTGAGTGACCTGAGTATATAGGTTTTTTTTTTTTGTAATTATGAAAAATGAATAAACTACTAGTGGCAGACATAATCTGTGATTAAGACCCTCTTTGTAACATCTTCCAACTAGGACTCGTGAATGACTCTTCTTGGATTAATTGTACTTAAAATCAGAATATGTAATATAATCTTAACTGTGTTAAATTATGCATAGAAAAAGAACTCTACAGAAATAAAACAGTAAATGAGGACATATCTGGGTGGTGAGATTCTGGGCAATTTTAATTTTC